ACAATAGTGCAAAATAATCATTTTCTGTAAGTAGGCCGTTTGTTAAAGCTAATGAGGGTACTCAAGGGTTTTTACTTGCAATTTGTTTCGACCAAACAGCCTTGGGATGAGGGGAATGTTTTCTATTATTGTATATGTAAGTAATGTTGTAATGTTTAAAAATCAAAAATGTGGACATGAATTGTTTTAAATAATATCAATTGTATAATAAAATACCATTCCAATGAGCCCAGAAACGTTTAAAAATATTAATTTTTCCAGAGAAATAAAAAAATAGTAAAAACATTGAAAATTGGGTTTTTCGTAGATATCTAATTAAAAAAATTAACATATTCTCTTTGTCAAGATGTCATTTCTTTCAGCATTATATTAGCTTTTAAAAATAAAAAGGAAAAATTTTAGTTTAAATATTTTTGAAGGTTTAAACGGGTTGATGCAGGGTGTTTGAAAGTTCATCAAATAGAATATTTAATTAGATTGTTCCCTTTTAAACCAACAGTAGTTTTTGTAGCTGTTGATAAACAACAGATTGGTAGTCTTGAATGTGGAGTATAAGCAATAGCATTTGCAACATCTGTATTGTTTAACGTAATGCCAAACAGTGTAATTTATGAAATCAATTTTTCCGATTTGAAATCGGTTAAATTATTTCGCGGCAGTTAGAAAGTCTAATATTGGGAATTCGATTGTAGAGAATGATTGGAATTGAGCGTCCCAATTCTATAACTCGTTCGACGCTCGGACGCATGCTCTTGTAACGTCCTGCGTTATTTTATTAGATTTTATGTTCTTTTTCCTTTTAATTTTTTGTAAATTTTGTATCAATTCTTCATGGGAAAACATCTGTTTTATCTAAACTACGTCTCATGTCTTTAGTGTAAATTGTTGTCTTCCTTTTGGAACTGATAACGAGACAAAGTACTTTCAGTAGTCTACACTCGTGGGATGCACTTTGAAATTTGGAAAATTCAATATAGATAAGAATACAGCCATTAAATCTTTTAGAAACTCTAAAGTGCATCCTTCCAGCTGTTGACTGCTGGGGTTTTTTTCCTATCTTATCACTTTCCCACGAAAGTCCAAGAGTTTCTACCTTCAAAAATTACATCTGTTAGTCATAAAACTATAAAAAAAATATTAGGTTACAAAGTCTGTTTTATTTCTATTTTTTTAAAAAAATAGTATCTCACACGTCGAATTAGTGAATCCTAAATAATTTTAAAAAATTCTTCAAAATATTTCTTTAATTTTTAGTTAAGTTTTAATATTAATGTTTGGAATTTCAAATTAATTTATTATTTATAATTATGTATTAAAATTCCTAAAAAAATAAAATTAGTTAAATCTTAATTAACAATTTAAATTAATATTGAAATTTTAAACATTATTATGAAAATAATTAATCATTTAGACTATAAGTAACAGAAATTTTATATGTAATAAAAAGTTTTTTAACTATTGTCATTTAATTATATATAATTAATTTTACTTAACTTTCTTTTATATATATATGTTTAAAAAAGTATGTGTGTGTAATTGAATGAGTAAATTTTCAATATTATGTAATTAAATAATCATAAAATCATGTATTTCATAAATAATTTTAAGAATTTTTGTAATTTTGAAAATTCGTTTAAAAAGTGAATCTTGGCTCCATCTTTTAAAAATAGTGTAAACTATAGTTCCCCACTTTTTCGAAACACCCTAATCTTAAAGATACGCCCACGCAGTTATCCCTTGCAAAGCTGGGCCTGAAAGATCCAATGACATCTTTCTTTTAGATAAGTTGTTCTATTTTGCTACATAAAAAAATCCAATCACTGATCTTTTTAACTTCCCACTCTATAAAATATTCATCCCCAAATTTCCACCCAACTAAAAAATTTAAGTAGGGATAATAATATAACGAAGCCAATATCCAAAATTCCAATTTAAACGAGTTTTCAACGAGATTCAACAATTATAAATAAAAAAGAAAAAAGTAAGTACTTTTATTGTATACTAAATTACTTTTCTCTTCTCATCTATTTTTTTGTCATACTTCTAATTCCGAAGGACGTGGTGCGATTAAGTTGCGCATTTTAGTTCCTTCAATCCTTAAAAAAAGATTTGATCGTTATTTTTTTTATTAAACACCTTCCGAAAAGATTTCGGTGTATTTAGTGCATTATTATCTTTTCAATCCTTTTAAATTCTTCTTCAAATAAAACAAACCAATTTGAATGATTCCTGAGTTGTGGACAATGAGTCTAGACTCAAAAATAAATTAAAATTAATTAACTATGTTGTGTTGTCGGACGTAACACTCTGATGGTAGTCAGGTAGCAGTGGGAGAGCCATTGCAGCTCACTGCTACCCGACTACCAATAGAGCGTGCGTCCGAGCGTCGAACGAGTTAGGGAATTGAAACGCTCAATTGTCTTTTCATAAATCGAGTTGAAGAACTTCAAAATGGTGGACTAAATCCTTCATATTTGAGTAAGACTCTTCCCAGTAATAATGACAACAGAGTTCTATCTATAGATAGAATGGATTTACATGTTGATTCATAATGCACAACAGAAAATAATGAGGGAAAAGGACAGGGATATGTCACTATCCCTTTCACTCTTATTATTGTCGATTTCACATTTTGTATCAACATGTAAATCCATCCTGAGGATGGAAAGAAAATACATAACAACAAAAGTTTGACAGAAAGAGGAAGAAATTATCTATGGAAACGGAAGATGAAAAGAAAGTACGTCAAAAGAAGAATTTGGCATGTAAAAACGATAAGAAAAATATTGCAATTATGTCCCTTAAAGATTTCGAGGAAAGTAAAGTCCTACAGAATTAATTTAGGTTCGATGAATGTATAATGGAAGTTTTGAAGCGCGTTAATAGAGTTAATAGTTGCTGTCACAAGGGAAAAGTAAAGTTAAAAGTTTTAGATCCTTATCAGTTTTATTTAAAATAATTTGTTATTTGACTCAACATTTAGATAAGAATTATAAAGAAAATATTCGTTCTTATAATAATTCATTAGCCTTCGACAGCATGGGAGTAAAATTAGACATTCTTAAAGGATATGGTCCTTATGTTTTTCGTGTACAGGGAAAAGTACATATGCCCTTCATCCTGATGGTGATGATAACCAAAAATATGGTCAGTTGTACATTCTTGATACCAATGAAGCAGTACTTGAACGATTAAAGAATAATTCTAATAAGATATGGTTATTATCATTAATGGAAGAAACAGATAAATTATTAAGGGAAATTAATCCTTATGCTAAAGCTTTTAAAATGATGAGAGAAGTAGAATTAGAAGAAGAAGAAAAACTATCAAAATCTAAAAAGGAGCTTATAAGGAATATTCAAATGTGGATTAAACGCGACAGATAATTGAATCAAAGCAAATTTAATGTTGAAAAGTAGCACTTGTATTTGTTAACGAAGATGGTAAACCTCTTATGAAACGCGATATATGTTTATACACCCAAAAGATTGAAAGAGTATTCCAATTTCTAATTTTAGTGAAAATGTTGATACCATGACATCCTTAAATCTTTCCTTATGGTGATCCTGGATGGACTGTTAACATTAAGCATACTGAAGGTACTTGTAATTTTACTTCTTTACAATTTTATACGTATCGTTTTTCATATAAAAGAAAAAAGTGTGGATTGGCACATGTGCATTTAATTATATTTTTACGCACACAAATTTGCGATGCAGAAACTTTGGATAAGATGATATGTGCTGATGGATGACATTAAATATTTATTCAAATATATGTATAAAGGTCATGATTGTGCAATAATAGCAATATGATGAAATTCAACATTATTTAAATACACGCATGTCCACCAGAAGCTATGCTATGTTGTCCGGAATCAAGTGCACCAAAAAAGATACCTTTTAGAAGACCTCACCTACAGCTACGAAATTGAACTAAATACACTAACATTTTTTTAAAATTTTCTCTACGTAATGTGCAACAATGTCCAACAAGAATTTTTTCAATTTCTTTAATACTTTTCTTACAGTAAGTTTTAAAACGTTTCTTTTTTGTCAATTCTAAACCAGAAAGTCCCCTTAAATGTAAATTCTTCGATATGAAAATTTTGAATAATATAAAATCCACTTTATACAATATTGCTAAATAGAAATTCAATAATTTGAGATTCGACGCAGTAAAATTTTTTATAACTTAAACGTGGGTATTAGCATTAAATAATAAATTATTTGTAGTAATGAATAATTTACTTTATTTGAAGTTGAAGCGATAAAATAAAATTGTATCAAATAATTTTTATTCATATTAAAAACCAAATATTTCACTGAAAAAAATTAATTAATTGTTCCAAGTTTAAAAAATCATTTATTAGATTCAATAATAATTAGTAGTAAATAATTATTTACTTAATGAATATAAGATATATATCACATGCTTAATAATTGAGTGTAAAGGCCAACTTTTTAATTTGCATTTGCTTTGGGAAAAGAGTAAAAAAATTTTGAAACTAATAGGTAGTTCCTTTAATTTATTCATAAAAAATTCCAGATAATTAAAGAAATTCCCTGACTTTTCCCCTGACCTTTTAAATTCCCTGACTTCCCTGACCGTTAGACACCCTGATATCGTGATATAAAAAGAAGTTATTAATTATATTTAAGAAGAGTATCCTTTTTAAAAAAAATATATTATCAATTTGTTTTTTAATTAACAGGTAAAAATAAATTTTTTTAATTGTTACTATAAATAAACACTGCTATTAATTATTGAATTCCAAAAAATATTATTATATAACGTGAATATATAATTAAGAATAGAAAATTTTTTTCTTATATTCAAAGTATTTTGTAATAGGTTTCAAAAATCAAAATTTCGAATTTTTTGTCACTTTTTTATACCTCTGACTGGCATTAAAACGCGCCGTCCGAGCGCTCGGCGATTTTTTCTTCCCGGGTTCTAAATTTTTTATTTATACAAATAAATTTGAGACACAAACTTACCAATTCTTCTATATCATTATCTCCAAGATCTAATCTTTCTAATTTTGTAAGTTGAGAAAGTGATTCTGGTAATGACTTGAGCAAATTTTCCCGTAATTCCAAAGACTGTAAGTTTTCGAGACTGAAACAGAAATAATAATAAAAAAAAACTATAATAATTGAGAAGAAACGGGAATACAAGCAATATCTTATTAAAATAAAATTTTCTAACGTTCTTATTAATACTATTAAAAAATAAAAGAAAATTATTGTTTTGACCAGGGCCGAATTTATATGTAAGCAAAATAAGCAGTTGCTTAGGGCTCCGGCTTGCCGGGGGCCCCCAAATTTTTTTAAAGGCTAAATTTTTTTTCAAATAAATGTTTTTTAATAAAAATTAATAAATGTTTATAAACAAATTATTATTCTAACGAAATTAAAATACATATGATGTATTCCACGCCAAAGTGAAAGTCTATTTGCAACTGCATCTACGAATTTTTTTGAGATTTTTTTTTTCTTTAGTACTAATTAAGACTAGCTTCCGTGAATTTTTTCAAATTTTTTTAACAAGCCGTTTTCGAATTATAGAATGCTGAAAATTAGAAAATTTTCATGACTTTTAATTTTTGAATGCTCATAACTTCCTTAAAAATGCATCAATTTTAAAGCTGTTTTTCAAAATGTGTTTCAAACGTACTTTTCAAAAAAAATCGAAATTTTTTTTAAACAATATTACTATCAAATTTTTTAGTTTTTATGATAAAAAGTCATTTTTCTCATTTGACGTACTGATCGATTTTTCTCAAATTTTTTTTTAAAAAACTACTTCTTTTTACGAAACTTTTAAGCCAGACCGATAATGGGCAAACAATTTTTACAATATTTTCGGAATTTTTTAAAAATTTTTGAGTTTTGAATTTTTTAAAAATGTTTTTGGTTTTTTTTTATACTACGTACTTTTATGTATATTGATGAGCGGACTCAAAAGTTTTTGAAAAATTCCGAAAATATTGTAAAAAAAACTGTTTGCCCATTATCGGGCTAGGCTTAAAAGTTTTGTAAAAATAAGTAGTTTTTAAAAAAAAAAATTTGAAAAAATCGATCAGAACGTCAAATGAGAAAAATGATTTTTTATCATTAAAACTAAAAAATTTGATAGTAATATCGCTTAAAAAAAATTCGATTTTTTTTGAAAAGTAAGTTTAAAAACACACATTTTTTTTTTTTTTGAAATTTTATATTTTCAAGTTATGCAAAAGTAAATATTTTATTCTTAAAGTATATCTATTTGTGTGATAAAATTCGCTGAATTTTTTTCAAATTAGTCAAATTGTTAAGAAACTGACATTATTATAAAAAGGGGATCAGTTTTTCAAAATTTATGAATTATCTCTGTTTCTTTTAGTTTTTACTATAAAAAAGTTCCTTTACGTTAAATAGAAATCTTACACTCAAGATTTAAGTTTTTGATGTCGGTACATCCCAGTTACTCCTTAAAGGATGAGTAAATTCAGTTACTCCTTCTAGGATTAATTTGATTTCATAATTAATTTTATTTTATTTATAAAAATTAAATTTTATTTTATAATTTAATTTTTATTTTATTTAATATTACTTTTTTTCCTTTGTCTGGCGTTTCTCACTGTACCATGTGAAACTGTTTATATCTTCTTTAATTACGATAAGAATTTTCAAAAATAGTGATTATTTATACAAAATAAATTTTTACTTAATTAAACAAATGAAAATTTAAACAACTTCTAGGGTAAAAATGGAAAAAATATCAGAAATCTGAATTTTGTCTACTTTAATTTAAAAAAATTTAATACTTTACAGATGAAACCAATTTAATTACACATTTCTATAGGGTCTTTAAAGAGTAAAAAATTGTATTTTCAAAACTATTTAATGAAATTTCATTAAAAACCTATGCCTTATATATTTATTTGGAAAAAAATTAATTCATATCTTACCTTCCGAAATCAGGTGGTAAATCGGACAATGACATATCATTCAGTCCAAGTACTGTTAAATTTCTGAGTTGTACAAATCCAGCAGGAAGCCTAAAGATAATAAATTTAAAAAGTAAATATACTGTATTTATAAATATACATGGAGAGAAAAATCACGGCCTTTTCCCGAGGTATTTCTCTCCGTGGATGCTTTTATTTATTATCTCAAAATATGTATTACATACCTAGGTATTGGATTACTACTAAAGTCAGCCACTTGTAATGAGCGCAAATTTTTTATGTTTTCAGGAATATCAGGTATGTCTGTAAAAAAAAAGAAAATATAAAATTAACCTTTGCTTAAAAAATCATAAAAACTGTTGTCATTCTTTCGTCTACTAATAAGACTAAAATAAACTAGAATTAAAAATAAATTCTATTCAATATTGAAAATTCAATATTTTTCTTAATTTTACGTGTAAAAATAATAATTTTGTGATTCACCTAATATGAAAAGTCCCTTTAAATAAAACTAAGAAATAGTTATTTTGAAAAACTTATCCGATAATGACTATTTTTGTGCGTAAATAAAAATATTTTCTACTTTAGAAATAATTATCAGTTTTTACAAAAAATCATATCAGACGATAGTACTTACCATTTCTAGAAACATCAAGTTCCACAAGGTTCTCAAAGTTTTGAATATCTGGTGGAAGTCGGTGAATTTCATTGTCACTTAATCCTAATTTGCGTAACCGTTGAAGTCGGAAGAAATTCTGTAAAGAGAATAATATTTTAACGAAAATTCCATGCTTAACATTCTATTATATCTTATGAATTATAATGAAAATAAATGACAAAATTAAACTATTTTTTCGCCACAAGAGTGAACACTGATGATTTTTATAGGATTTTTCACGTACGCGAAAAATTTTTTTTTCTGAGAATATTAAGTACTAAAAACTGTAATAATATAATAATAAAATGCTTGGTCTGTCCTTCTGTCCTAACTTGAAGTTGGCCTTTTCTGATTTCACATGTTTTTTTGAATAGTAATCTTATGACGTGTCAAATTTTGACAATTCTTTTTCTCATTTTTGCCAAAGTTGTATAATTGTGTTTCCAAATTTCGGAATAAGTTTTTTTAAAATTACAAATTCCAAAATTCAATTCACGAAGCTGAAATACACAACGTTTACGAACGAAATTTTTTTAAAAGTTGTATATTGATTCAAAAATTGTATACAAATACAAAAAATTTATGATGAGAAAAAAGATGCGCCAGGAAATTTCGTACAAGATAGTAATTTGACAAAAATTTATTTTTAACGTACCAGGGGCCAACGAATACCTATTAAATATTAATTATAAAAACACAGGCCTCGAATCAACTTAAAGACACAAAAAGTCGTTTTAGTCGATTTATATTCCCAAAAATGTGGATTTGTTTTTTATTTTAACAAAAATATTTTTCAGATTTTTAAATAAAAAAATTTTTTTTTTAATAATAATCCTTTTCGAAGGGTTAAAGTTGAAATTTTTAGAAATAACACAGCCCCACAAAAAAAAAAGTGTCATGTACTTTTGACCAGAATACCCTAACCCTATGTATTTTGACGCGCTGAACACGAATCCGAAGTCCGTTTTGCTCCATCACGTCAGCATTTTTTTCTAACCTCAAAAAACATGTCGGATTTTGAGAAGTAGGCGATTTTTTCAAAATTTGATGTATTAACTTCAAACTTGGTATCTGGGGGTTTTTTGTGTCGCTGATTACGAATCTGAAGTTAGATTTTCAAAATCCAAAATGGCGGATCCAATATGGCGGACGAATTTTGAAAAAATTTTAAGATTTACTTCAAACTTGGTATCTAGGGGTTTTTTGGGTCGGTGATTACGAATCTGATGTCAGATTTCCGAAATTCGATATGTCTGATTCAATATTAAGGAATTATTTTTTAAAAATTGCCAGATTTTTATGAAATTTGGTATCTACAGGTTTTCTAAGTTGCTGACAAGTAACACTAGGGAAGTGCCATACGCCGATTTTTCTGAAACTTGGCAGTTTTGTAGTTTTTTGAAAACACTTTGACACGTATGTTTTGTTTTTCCCCAAAAGCTGATTTATGGGGGAGAAATACCCCTTGAATTTTTTTTTGGTAGGGGGACATTATTTTACGAAATTTTTCAAAAATTAATGTGCAATAGTGTATCTGGGGGTTTTTTGGGTCACTGATTACGAATCTGATGTCAGATTTCAAAAATTCAAAATGGCATATCCAACATGGACTTCTATCGGCCACATTAGATACGCCATTATCAATTTTTGAAAACTGACATCAGATTCGTAATCAGCGACCCAAAAAACCCCTAGATACCAAGTTTGAAGTAAATCTTAAAATTTTTTCAAAATTCGTCCGCCATTTTTGATTTTGAAAATCTAACTTCAGATTCGTAATCAACGACACAAAAAACCCCCAGATACCAAGTTTGAAGTTAATACATCAATTTTTAAAAAAATCGCCTACTTCTCAAAATCCGACATGTTTTTTGAGGTTAGAAAAAAATCCTGACGTGATGGAGCAAAACGGACTTCGGATTCGTGTTTTGCGCGTCAAAATACATAGGGTTAGGGTATTCCGGTCAAAAGTACATGACACTTTTTTTTTTGTGGGGCTGTGTAATTAAATTTCAAAAGATATTGTTAATTTTCAAACAATTATTAAATTTTACAGAACTAAAAATAATTAATCAAACAATTTTTGGAAAACATTTTTTAAATTTAATTGAATTTTCAAAGATATAAAATTGAGATTTTTGAAATTAATTGAAACTTTAAGTGTTTTGTAATTAAAATTTTACATGATTTCACTAAAAATTTCTTAGAAAATGAGGACAAAATACAATAATTTGAAAAATGGTTACAAATAGTTGAATTTTCAAAGAATATTATTAAAATAGTTAAAAATAATTGAATTTCCTTAGAGTTATAATTGAAATTATTAAATTTCAAAAAAAAAATTTTCGATGGAAAATTTTAGAAATAATTAAATTTTAGATGCTTTTAAATTCAAATTATTGAAAATTCAATTAATTTTGAATTCAAATTTTTGATAATAATGAAATTTTATTTGATTTTAAATTGAAAATTTTAGGGAAATAATTGAATTTTAATTGATTTTGAATTGAAATTTTGGAAAATAATTGAATTTCAATTAATATTAAATTAAAATTTTGGAAAATAATTGAATTTCAATTAATATTAAATTGAAACTTTGGAAAGTAATTGAATTTTACTTGATTTTGGATTGAAAATTTTGAAAATAATTGAATTTTAGTTGATTTTAAATTGCAAATTTTGGATAATAATTGAATTTCAATTGAAAATTTTGAATATAATTTAATTTTAGTTGATTTTAAATTGCAAATTTTGAAAATAATTGAATTTCAATTAATATTAAATTAAAACTTTGGAAAGTGATTGAATTTTACTTGATTTTGGATTGAAAATTTTGAAAATAATTGAATTTCAATTGAAATTTTGGAAAATAATTGAATTTCAATTAATATTAAATAGAAACTTTGGAAAGTAATGGAATTTTACATGATTTTGGATTGAAAATTTTGAAAATAATTGAATTTCAATTGTAATTTTGGAAAATTATTGAATTTTAGTTGATTTGGAATTGAAATTTTGGAAAATAATTGATTTTGAATTGAAAATTTGGAAAATAATTGATTTCAAATAGAAAATTTTGAAAATAATTGAATTTTAGTTGATTTTTAATTGCAAATTTTGAAAATAATTGAATTTCAATTGTACTTTTGGAAAATAATTGAATTTTAGTTTATTTTGAATTGAAAATTTTTAAAATAATTGAATTTTAATTGAAATTTTGGAAAATAATCGAATTTTACTTGATTTTGGATTGAAAATTTTGAAAATAATTGAATTTTACTTGATTTTGGATTGAAAATTTTGAATTTTTCGAAAACCTCCTAGTAGAGATTTTCAAGCGAATCCGAACGAGTTAAAAAAAATCCGCCATATTGGATTGGACCTTTTTAATTTTGAAAAATTTTCACCAGATTCGTAATCAGCGACCCTAAAACCCCCGGAGTAACGTGTTTCAAGTCAATTTTATGCTTTTTGGTTAGGAAAAATGTCGTATTAATTAAGTTATTTGTCCAGTTTGTTCATTTTTTGAATTAGCACAGTGTTTTAGATATATTTTTTGATAGGAATAACTTATCTACACGAATAAAATAACTGCATGAACATATTGTTAAAAAAAATTCATCTCACTCGACATCAATGAAATCAATTCTGTCGTAAAATAATAAGAACGATAAAAAACTTCTAATGATGATCAAAAGGAGCTTATTGAAAAGAAAAAAAGTACTATTAAACAAGTTAAAGGTGTTGATATAATCATCTTGACGATGATGTGGACGATAAATTATTGAACAATAAAAATAATAAAACAACAATTTCAAATTTTATTGCAAAATCGGAAATATCCACGGCAGCAGTAAAAATGTCGATAAATAATTCAGGTCTGATAAGCTGGCACCACAAGTTTGATATTTTAGAATATCTCCTATGTGAGAATTTAGGGTTCAATTAGGGCTAATTACCGCTCAAAATGAAAAATTTACCGCTCTTTATTTTTTTTAAAAAAGGCGGTTGGTGCTGCCTTAACGTTAAGCTGGCACCAACCGCTTAAAACCAAAATTTCAGTCCTCTACACTGAAAAACTTTTGGGGCAGCTGCTCTCCCAATCGAAAAATTTCTATATTCAGTTAACTTCATACTCAATAATTATCATGAGTTTTTATATGAGTGAAGTTAACTGAATATAGAAATTTTTCGATTGGGAGAGCAGCTGCCCCAAAAGTTTTTCAGTGTAGATAAATTCGTGTGGCCGCTAGGGGGGGGGTACATGCCTTGCTTCACTAGTCTCATTAATAGGGATCCCCCTTCGGGTACGGAACCCTAATGAAGATTTTTTTTCGATTTAGAAATTTTTTTTTAATTTCTTTCTACTTCTATTTAAAAGCCCTAAATAAGCCCTAAATTATGTCAGGGTGGATTTTTAAATATCTCGTTTTTTATTTAGTTTTTTAAGCGGTTGGTGCCAGCTTAACGTTAAGGTAGCACCAACCCCTTTTTTTAAAAAAAAATAAAGTAGAGTGTTTTAGTTTTTGAAATTTTTTTTGAAAATTCTTTCTATGTCTATTTGAAAACCCTAAATGAGCCCTAAATTATGGCATGGTAGAATTTTAATTATCTCTTTATTTATTTGGTTTTTTAAGCGGTTGGTGCCAGCTTAACGTTAAGGTAGCACCAACCGCCTTTTTAAAAAAAAATAAAGAGCGGTAAATTTTTCATTTTGAGTGGTAATTAGCCCTAATTGAGCCCTAAATTCTCACATAGGAGATATTCTAAAATATCAAACTTGTGGTGTCAGCTTAACAGACCTGTTAAAAATCGAACTGCAGCTTTACATCAAAACGATTAAAATGATATTGTTCCAATCTTAAAAAGTGTGAATATGTATATTTGATTGGTTTGTTTAAAAACTTTAATCCAATGAAATGCAAGCATTAACACTTTGCGATATTGAAAAAACATCATTACAATCATGTTTGTGTTAAGTTGGAGTCTGATTTTTAACAGTGTATCAGTACTACGGCCTTTAAGGGTAGGTCCTAGTAAGGCAGCACCACCTATATCGAAACTAAAATTTTGGAAAATTATTTACAGTATTTACTT